GGTTCTTCCCTCACTCCCTGGGGCAAAGCGAAAACAACTACATCATGCCCAGCTTCATGAGAGGAATGCCTGGGTGGGAAAACTTAGGATTGGAGAGACTGAGCCACTTTCCTGCGGTCACGGGGCTGGGCGGAAGAACGCGGATTCCAGTCCAAGTCGGCCTGCTTAGCGGCCCCCTTTCAGGCCATGAGGACAAAGTTTGCAGAGGAGGCTGGCCCTCATCCAAACTCAGCCTCCCGCATAAGCACAGGTGCCTTCTCTGAAAGCAGGGATGATGGCAACGTCTTCCCACCTGGGGAAATCAGTGAGAAACGCTGTGTAAGATCTTGGCCCCAGGTCTAGCACACGGCAGATGCCAGATTTTGGAGGGAGCCCCAGCGCAGGGGCGAGGGGCGTAGACTCTGAGAGTCGGGCTCCCACTTAGCAGCTGCGGCTCAGTGGGCAAATCACTTATTTTCTCTGTGCCTCCGTTGGCTCATGTGTTAAACAGGAATGATGAAATACCTTGTGAGTACCATGTAAGTGTGGTTTTTATTATCAGCTGTGCATTTACACGGTTGATTCCTGAGGGTTTGTGAAGCTACTTGCTCTTTGCAAATGGATAAGAGAAAGTGTCTTAAGTTAGACTTTCAAATCAAATTTTTACTTTAGAGTTGCTGGAAGATGTTCAGTCATCTGATCTCTGGAAAGGATGTTCAAGTTAAGAGAAAATAGAGTCTAGGACTCCAATGGCCTTCATTTTACAGAAGGGGAAACAGGCCCGGAGATGAGAAGAGTTTACCTAGGAGCCTGCAGCTCACTCAGACACCCCTGAAGCCCAGCCCCAAGGGCTTTGCCCTCCCTCCCCCTCTCCAGGTGCTGCTCCAGGCTCGGCTAATTCCTGTGTGGAAGCCCATGGAAGTTCAGATGAAGCACATCCCAGGTCATGAGTGGGAAAGTTCATTGCTATCTGGCTGTAACAGGTTTTGCTCTTACTCCTAATCAAGTGCCTTTCCCCTGCTGTCGGCCCTAAGTCCCACTCAGGTCCTTACAGACTAAGGCAACGGAGTTGGCGAATTTGAGCCACCTTTTCTCTGGGGCAGCAAGGGGTCCTAGACAGCACATTTCATTTTGACAAATATTTATTAGGCACCCGGCCCTGAGCCAAGGGGACTCGGAATAAGTGCGACGGTCATGGCTTCTGTGCTCACTGAAGGCTGTGTGACCGTGAGCAAGTTAGGTGACTCCTCTGAGCCTCAGTTCCTCCATCTGTAAAATAGGTGAATGACAACTCTTTCCTGGAGTTGACATGAGGAGGAAATGAGGTAAGTAGTGACAGCCCCTAACATGTTTGTAGAAGGTCTGGAAAGTGGTCCTGCCTGTCCTCCCCTCATTGGCAGGAGAAGCACTGCCCTTGGCTTTCTAAGGCTCCCTGCACAGCTAAAGAAGAAGGGGAGTAAAGCCCAGTAGGAGCGCAGCCCGGCCAGTGATCCCCCAGCTTGGGGATCCTTCAGTCTGAGAAGTTGAAAGCAAAGGTTATTGGCTCATAATGCACCCCAGAGTTTGTCCATTCTCCAGTTAATCCATTTTACATCCCTAATGAAATGGGATCAAAATCAGAAAGACATTTCCAAGACTTGGAAATGGCGAGGTCTTTCCTCTGGACCATTTTACGGCTGCAAAGTCACTGTGATTCTCTAAGGTTGCACGTGACAGGTCCTGGGACCACAGAGGGAGGCCAGCTCTGCGGCCAAGTCAGGGCTGGACTCCGCTCCACCGTGTGCAGGCTGGGTGGCCATGTGGATGGGTCTGACATCTCTGGACCTCAATTTCCTTATCTGTGAGGATGGAAACAATCCTCTGGCCTGTAACTGAAACCTGAGGGAAACTTCACAATGTAATTTTGGGAGAGGAAGGACTTCTTTTCTTGGGGGTACCTGTTGGGGTTATCACAGTGCTGAGAGCATAGTAGGCATTCATTTAATAGTAATTGAATGAATGATGCATGGGAGGTACTCAACAAATATTTGTTGAATAAGCAATTGAATAAATATAGGTAAGTAAGCATGTCTTCCAGTCTAACAGCATTTCCTGGAGTTTCTTTTTCTTTTCATTTATTTCTTCTTTTTTGGTTGCTCAGCCATTTGGACTCAGAGAGGTTAAATAAATTAAATAATGTACCCAGGCACATGGAGCTAATTAGAGTCTGCCTCTGATGTTTAGACCCAGTTGTGTCTGGCCCCATGTGCCTTTCACTTTCTCCTATGTCTGGAAGTTTCTCAGAAGCCTCTGAAAGTACCAATTAGGAATGCTTTCAATAGCTTAAGCAATAAAAAAAAAAAAGTACTCTACCACAAGGAGAAATGGGAGGTGGCAGTTCAAGCCCAGAGCAGCAGCTGAATATTAGCATCTCAGAACCAGGATTTTCCCATCTTTCTGCTCTCTTCCTCAGAGGGTTAGCTTTTTGTCCCAACAAATGTTGCTTTGTCATCATAAATGGCTGCTCCAGCTCTGGACTTCACGACCAAGTGCAAGGCAGGAAGTTAGAAGAAAGGAGGGGATGTGCTTTCTTTTACTGGCAATGGAAAACAACACCCAGAGGCAGGTGTCTGCAAAGACTTCCCTTTATGACTCACGGGGGCAACTGGTCACCTGGCCAGCCCTAGCTGCAAGGGAGGCAAGTGTGTACGCAGCAAAGGCTGGTAGGCTGGCCAGGCCTGGCCTGGACTGATCGTTGTCTCATGGGGACAGGCTCACTTCCTCTCTGAACAAACCAGGGTTGGGACAGTGGGGGGTGGGGGCTGCTGGGAGTGGGCCCACCTTGCCTCTGGCAGACACCCGGACTTGGCGACGCCCTCACTGGACCAGAGGAAACCGAATCTAGTGCACTTGGGAAGAACAGGCCCTGGATGTCACCAGCATTGGACTGATTCTGGAGCAACTCTGCACAGCGCTGGGCTCCACATGAGAGAGCTGACTTACTGTGGGCTGCCAACGTGGCACTCAGTGACCACACAGCAAGGGACACGTCTCCTTGGTCTGCTTTCGATTCTTCCGAGTATTTCTTGGAGAAATGATAAATACATGCAAGAAGTGGTCCTTGACTGTATTCTGGACTTAAAAAGGAAAAAAAGCTCTAAAGGACATTATTGGGTGAATTGGGGGAAAATTTGAACGTGGATCATAAATTGGATAATAGAATTGGATAAATGTGACATTTCCTGAGGGTGATGACCATTGTTGTGGTTATGTAAGAGAATGTCCTTTTTCTAGGAGATACATGCTGAAGTAGACGTGTCATGATGTCTGTGAATGGTTCAGAAAAAGTATATAGTACACACATATATATATACATACACATATATGTATTATATATTTACATATACATATATCACTATATATGTGTATCTAACTATATACAACAATATATGTATGCAAATATATGTATATAAATATACATTCTATATGTAAATATACATTACATATGCACACAGAGCAAGAAAAGGCAGATATGCCAAATGCTAACATCTTGTAAATCTAGACTCTAAATGAAGGGCCCGTGGGTATTCACCCATACAAGTTTTTAGTAGGTGTGAAGTCTTTCAAACTAAAAACTTTGAAAAATAATAATTTAAAATTTCGAAAAGAGGAAATTTCAAGAAAAATATTAAATGCATTATGCTTAGCATTTAATGCATTAGGTTAGCAGGCGTTATACCAACAGACAAAATCTGCCCCGTAGTGTGCAAACCCCCCAATTTGGGGAACACTGATGTCAGTTTTGAGGGTGTAGTTCAGCATCAGTTAGCTTTAAGCATAAATCCCCTTCTGTATGAAATGGGGATGATTTTCATCCTGGGGTGGCTGGCACTGGCCTCCTGGGAATTAACTAACACACGTAGAGCTCTCTGCACAAAGCCTGGCACAGAGCCTAGGTTACCAGGAAGGCTGTCTGTGGCACGCCTCTCCCTGAGGTGCCACCAGCCCATACGGTCTGTTGAGAGCTGAGCACAGACAGCTCATACAGGTCCCACCCCTGGGGTTGCGTCGACTGCTTTACTTTGCTCCTGCTTTTTTTTCTGCTTGCATCTTTTGGCCTGGGAGAGGTCCCCTGGATGGGATATCTGGAGACTGAAGCCACAAAAAGACACTCCCATCCAACACACGTGCATGCGCGGCATGCGCGTGCACGCACGCGTACACACACACACACACACACACACACACACCACCACCACCACCACCACCACCATCATCATCATCATCATCATCATCATTACTCCCAAAGAGCAATTTCTGGCGTCTCTGGGCCCGGAGATCCTTGCTTAGCTAAGGAGTGGGGGGCTAGGGGAGCCGGCCAGCCCTCCATGCTTTGGGATGGGGCTAATTCCATTTTCTGGTCCCTGCGTCGGCCCCCACTCCAGTGTCTGGAGCCTGGAAGCAAAGAGGGGCTCGGCAGCCGGGAGCAATTCTTCCAGCCCATCACCACCAAGCTCAGGCCTGCCAATCCCCACTGCTGCCCCAAGGCTCTGCCATGGGCCATGTTAATCCCATTACCCACAAATGAAGATGTAATCACAGCTCTTTCAGAGGGCCCCCAAGGCTGATCCCTCTTTGGAAAGAGAAAAGAAAGTGCAATTGTCCAAGCCGCTGACTTCTGAATGTCCTGCTGGGGTGAGGGGCACAGAAGTTCTTTGGGGCCAGCGGCCTCTCGGCTGGGAGGGGGTGGAGGCCATCTGAGAGTGGGGACACATATCAGGGCCGGGTGGGGTGGGGTGTGCAAGGGGCCGACTGGCCCTGGGACCTCCGCTAGGCCTCTTTCAGCATCTTCCACATGGTTGCAAAGGGGCTTTTCTGTTGAACAGCTAGCTGTATGTGGAGGTGGAATAGAAGTAGTAATGCACAAAGACATGAAGGCATTGTTGATGATGCCATTTGTTATGTTAGTAGCAGTAAACTTTACTGAGCATGTGCCACATACCAGGGCTTTTTCTGATGCTACTGTCATCCCTATTTTACAGCTGAGGAGACTGAAGCACAGAGAAGTCAACTGGCTTGCCCAAGGTCATAGGGTTGAGAAAGGGGACTGATTGCAAAGTCCAGCTAGAGCAAGAACTAAAAGCTATCATTTGTTTGAACTGTGGTTGTTTTGAACAGAGGCTGCGGCGCCTGGCTGATAGCAAAGATTCAGTCTGTTTTTGCATCCTCCTCTTTGGCCATGTCCTTCGAGGCTCTGAGGTTCAAAGATGAAAGACGCCCATGGCCTGGAGTGGAAGATGTGGAGTTGGGGCAAACACGTCTTCAGTCCCCCAGCCTGGCCTCCACGTGACCCTCACTGCCCTGTCATAATCACGATGCCTGTCATCGCTGACCCTGTGTGGAGTGTTGTGTACCAGGCACTGTCTTGTGTACGAGACGTCCAGTAATCAGTGGCACAATGGTGAGTGTTTAACAATCAGCATCTGGGGAAATCCCTGATCCGCAGCATTTTCCAATCTCCGTGATATGGATATTTCCACCTCCACCACGGCTGATTCAAGCTATCAACATGGTGTCATTGGCTGCGACTTGGGAAAAGACTTGCAGAACTGGTTCTCATAGGTGGCTCCAGAACACTAATAATTGACAACTCACACAGCCTGGTGTTATGGAACTAAGGCCCAGAGCAGGTAGGATGAATATTTTCCAGGATAGACCCTGGCACTGAAATTTTTGTTTTAGGGACGACTTCCGGGAACGCAGAGGAAGCCCCTGATGATGGGTCTGTGTTCTGACTTTCCTTCTCCTTATTTCTCAGGGCCGCATCCAGCACCAACTAGATGATAGCCTCTTCAAAGGCAAGGAGCCCAGCACGAAGTATTAGTACAGGCACATACTAAGTGACCAGTGAATATCTGAAGAGCTGAACTGAATGCTTTGATTTCAGTTGAATAAACCACCTTGTCCAAGGAACAAGGGGACTGCTAGCAGGGACCACAGCTGCAACCCATGACCCTCAGCTTTCGGGGATAATGCTGTAAGTATGCATTTCAGGGTGAATTCTGAGGATTGCCCCATCCAAGAAAGGAGGTGGACTGTCCTGTTCACTCTTGGGAAGGGCGCAGAGGGGCTATGGATTCACACGTTGCATTGTCAATGCCCCTTTCTTTTGCTATCACCATCTAGAGAAGTGTGACCCAACACCAGTGTGTTGGGGACTGGATAAGACCAAGAGCACCAAAGGTGACACTGTGGAGCACCTCACAGTTTTCAAAGTTTTTTCCCTTGCATGATATTAGTGTTTCCCAAGGTCTGGGAGCATTCCACTGGGGGCAACCAGTATGACTTCAGGGGTCATGACCCTTGTAAGATGTTGATACTTAGACATTTACTTTGATATGTTGGATTCAGTGAGACCAAGAAATGACAATGGAATGTTTCTTGAGATAAAAGCGTTTATACCCAGGTTTATTCCCATAGCGTAGGTTGAGCACTAGAATCATGTCTGCATACAGCTGTCAGCAGGTCCATAACCCACCTCCACTTCTGTCTCTGTCCAGACCACTGGGCAGAGCTCTTTATATAGTGACTGAGTCACTAATAGCTCATTGCCTACGGGTGTGGGAGCAGTAGCCTAGCAGAAGGCCAGTTACATCATCAAATAGTTTAGAGTCAGGTGAGGATCCTGGCCATGGGAACTTCCATTTTCCCCACATATGTATTCAAAAGTATTTCTAGCACATTATGTCAGTTAGGAATAGGTTTAACTGCATTTAAAGACAACAATAAAGCAGTGGCTTCAATAAGAAACAAGTTTACTTTTCTTTTGATGAAAGTCAAGGGCTGGCATGGCACTCCACAGGATCAAGGCTCCACCTCCTTCCATCTTGTTCCTTTGTTGTATAGGAGTTCGACTCTCAAGGTCACTTCAAGGTCTAACCTGGTTGCTGTAGTTCCAGCCATCATGGCTACATTCCAGATGACAGGAAGCAGAATAAGAAAGAATAAGAAAGAAAGATACGTCAGTCTCCTTTAACCCACACCTTTTATAGGAGTTCGACTCTCAAGGTCACTTCAAGGTCTAACCTGGTTGCTGTAGTTCCAGCCATCATGGCTACATTCCAGATGACAGGAAGCAGAATAAGAAAGAATAAGAAAGAAAGATACGTCAGTCTCCTTTAACCCACACCTTTTTTGCTCACATCTCATTGATCAGGACAAATTATAAAACCACACTTAGCTGAAAGAGAGGCCAGGACAGAAAGTTTTTATGTCAAGCTGCCCTGTAGCCAGAAAAAGAAATCAAGACTTTTTCCATGAAAGAAAGGGTCATTTTTGTGGAAGAGGTATTGGCTTTGATACACACACACGAACTGGGATTTCATTGATACTATTGCTTAGGATGAGTTTAACGTTTTTAAAAGGTGAGGCAATTGAAAGAATCGTTAAGTAAATTAAGTCCAGGTGGCACATGGGTGTGGTAGCCATCATAAAAGCGGTGAGAAGTAGCCAGCTGCACACAGCCTGCAGCGAGTCTGTCCACGTGCGCTAGGGCTGGCTACCTGTATGGTGGCGTCACTTCCCTCCACTTTCAAAGGAGGAAATGCCAGGCTCCCAGAACAGCTGTCTGAGAGTCCACGAGTCATGCTCACTTCCTCTCAGGGCCTGTGGCAGCCCCTGGCCAATGGCTCCCCCAACGGCACCTCCTTCTTGCATCCCGTTCCCCACCACAGAAGCTACACACCTGGGCACTCTCTTCCCCAGCTCCCTGGCAGCTCCCGGAGGCCCAGAGACCCAGTTCTGGCCAATGAAATGCAAACAATGAAAGCATTAAAAGCACAAAGCGGGGGCCACACCGGTGTTGGGGATGATTATTGACACTGACATTGGCTCTGGGGTCCCCACACACGCCCTGAGGAACCAGCCATGGACTGTTGCAACAGCCTGAAAACAAACTAATCTAGTAACCTGGGCCTCGAATTGTAAAGGGGAAAATAAGTTCCAAGCATAGTGCCTAGCACATAGTTAGCACTTAGAAAATATTTATTATAAAAATTCTACACGAGCGCGTTGCATCTGTACACCCTCTTTCATTAACTGTGTTTACACATGGAAAGCCTTAGACCAGCGCCTGCACAGGGAATGCGCTCCATTAGTGTTAGTTACAATCATTATTATCATAGCGTTATGGGCATTGTCATTGTCCATTCATTCAACAAACAGCTTCCACGCTCCCATGTGTGCCAGGCGCTATCTTGGCACTGGGGAGTCGGCAGTGAGAAAGGCAGAGTCTCAGCCCTGCCAGGAGCCCAGGCTCTGAACAATCCACCCCACACTTAATTAACTAGAATCGTGGTACGTGCCAAGTGCGGTGAAAGCATAAAGCAGGAGCACTGAGTTTAGCCTGGGATTCCCTGGGGAGCAGCCGTCACGGGCTGAGGCCTCAGGACCTCGCCAGAGTCGCCCAGCTAAGAGTCGGGAAAGCACACCCAGGGTTGCTCGGCAAAGCGGCACGGAGGCCAGCAGGCCAGCTTGTCTGGTCTCGGCTCCCAGGCCCAGAGTTTGGGACTGGGCCAGGCTGGCTCCGAGCAGGCCAGCCATTGGCAGCTGCCTCCAGGCTGAAGGCTGGTTGGTGCTGCCTAGCCACCTCCCTGACCTCCCTGGGCATGCCCCTTTGTGTGACAGCTGTCCCCCATGCCGAGCCCCTTGGGATCCAGTTTCTGTGGAGGCTGACTCGCAAAACCCAGCATATTGTCCCAGAACAGCAGGCCCTGGGGGAGGGCTCAGTGAAGTCGTGGCCTGCCCGTCTCTGTGTTCCACCCTGAAAAGAATAACACTACATCAATAGATGGCACCCATTATGTGCCAACATCCGAGGCTCTTAATCGACTCAGGCTTAATTAATGATTGGGAGAACAGTCATGGTTAGCCTGAGGCTCCAAGAGAAGGGGTGGAGGGATGGTTAATGACATAAAGGGCTCCGCGGGCATGTTCTGTTCAACTGTCATTGGGTCCTGGGTGGAGATGCCTCCGGAGAGTGACAGCATGGGGCAGAATGGGAAAATGTTTGATGAGAAAATCCATATTTGCTCCCATCTTGCATAAATATGAGCTGCTTCTTTCCTGCTACTGAAGTCAGAAGAAACAGCTTGAGACCTTCTCACTGTATGTGGAAAAGAAGTCCCCACCCCTTTCCCATCCCAAGCATCCTTAGACAGAGACCCCCGAGGACTGGACTCGACTCATCTTGTCCTTGATAGTTTTGAGAATCTTCAGTTGATTTTTTGTTCCCAGGCAATTTTGCAAGATTTTTCCAAGTGCTCTCTGTGGTTTCTAAGATAATTTAATGCAAGTTCTGTGAACATTTCATGGGAATTTTATTAGCATACCATAAGAGAATTATCATAGCGTTATGGGCATTGTCATTGTCCATTCATTCAACAAACAGCTTCCACGCTCCCATGTGTGCCAGGCGCTATCTTGGCACTGGGGAGTCGGCAGTGAGAAAGGCAGAGTCTCAGCCCTGCCAGGAGCCCAGGCTCTGAACAATCCACCCCACACTTAATTAACTAGAATCGTGGTACGTGCCAAGTGCGGTGAAAGCATAAAGCAGGAGCACTGAGTTTAGCCTGGGATTCCCTGGGGAGCAGCCGTCACGGGCTGAGGCCTCAGGACCTCGCCAGAGTCGCCCAGCTAAGAGTCGGGAAAGCACACCCAGGGTTGCTCGGCAAAGCGGCACGGAGGCCAGCAGGCCAGCTTGTCTGGTCTCGGCTCCCAGGCCCAGAGTTTGGGACTGGGCCAGGCTGGCTCCGAGCAGGCCAGCCATTGGCAGCTGCCTCCAGGCTGAAGGCTGGTTGGTGCTGCCTAGCCACCTCCCTGACCTCCCTGGGCATGCCCCTTTGTGTGACAGCTGTCCCCCATGCCGAGCCCCTTGGGATCCAGTTTCTGTGGAGGCTGACTCGCAAAACCCAGCATATTGTCCCAGAACAGCAGGCCCTGGGGGAGGGCTCAGTGAAGTCGTGGCCTGCCCGTCTCTGTGTTCCACCCTGAAAAGAATAACACTACATCAATAGATGGCACCCATTATGTGCCAACATCCGAGGCTCTTAATCGACTCAGGCTTAATTAATGATTGGGAGAACAGTCATGGTTAGCCTGAGGCTCCAAGAGAAGGGGTGGAGGGATGGTTAATGACATAAAGGGCTCCGCGGGCATGTTCTGTTCAACTGTCATTGGGTCCTGGGTGGAGATGCCTCCGGAGAGTGACAGCATGGGGCAGAATGGGAAAATGTTTGATGAGAAAATCCATATTTGCTCCCATCTTGCATAAATATGAGCTGCTTCTTTCCTGCTACTGAAGTCAGAAGAAACAGCTTGAGACCTTCTCACTGTATGTGGAAAAGAAGTCCCCACCCCTTTCCCATCCCAAGCATCCTTAGACAGAGACCCCCGAGGACTGGACTCGACTCATCTTGTCCTTGATAGTTTTGAGAATCTTCAGTTGATTTTTTGTTCCCAGGCAATTTTGCAAGATTTTTCCAAGTGCTCTCTGTGGTTTCTAAGATAATTTAATGCAAGTTCTGTGAACATTTCATGGGAATTTTATTAGCATACCATAAGAGTTAGTTAAGAATTCCATGGAACTTGAGCGAGCATTTCAAGAGGAGTTCCATGATATTTCTGTGGGAATTCATCAGGAATCACATGGTACCACAGGGAGGGTTCCATGACGATTCATTGAGAACTCTAGAGGCCTTGCATGGGCGTGCGGGAGGCTCTGTGGAAGAACCATGAGAAAGAGACAGGGTTGATGGAAGCCAACCGAGAAAGTGAAGCAGGGTTTCCAGGAGGGCCTAGAAAATACTCCAGGAGGATTGTCTGCAGCATTCCACACAAACTCTTCAGGAATTCCATAGGAATCCTTTGAGAATGCTGTAAGGGCTTTATGAGCATCCGATGCCGAATCTTCTGTAGGAGCTGCCACTGTCCCTTTATGTGTGTCAGAACTACAGCTTCTGAACTGGGGAGGCTCCCAAGAAAGATGGCTCCTGTCTGTCTTTCTAAAACTCATTTCATTTAAAAGATTTCTTTCCACTGAAAAACATTCATTTGTTAGAGACATCCTCACTTTTGAGACCTGTTGAGGGTCTGATGACTGTGGAAAGATGACGCAAGGAGGCGGAGGAGGCGGGCCCCGTGGGAGAGGAAAGAATCATCCCGTCTCTTTCCAGTTCCTAAGACTCCTAATGAAGAACGTTTGTTACTAACATATCTCTCAGAAGGTCTGGTGTCAGGGGCAGGAACACGAGCAGGGGCCAGGAGTTTCTGGTTCTAGTTCCAGTTCTGCCATTAATTTATGGCATAATCTTGGACCAGTCTCTGGATCTGTTTCCTATTTTGTAAAATAAGGAGTGTTGGACTAGAGCACTTCAGAGAGCTCTTCCAACCTGGACAGTCTGTGGTTTTGTAACATGATGTTGGTGATGGTGATGGTGGTGGTGATGGTGATGGTGGTGGTGATGGTGATGGTGGTGGTGATGGTGGTGGTGGTGGTGATGGTGGTGGTGGTGGTGATGGTGGTGGTGATGGTGGTGGTGGTGGTGGTGGTGGTGGTGGTGGTGGTGGTGGTGGTGGTGGTGGTGGTGGTGGTGGTGGTGGTGGTGGTGGTGGTGGTGGTGGTGGTGGTGGTGGTGGTGGTGGTGGTGGTGGTGGTGGTGGTGGTGGTGGTGGTGGTGGTGGTGGTGGTGGTGGTGGTGGTGGTGGTGGTGGTGGTGGTGGTGGTGGTGGTGGTG